AGAGTAGATTTTCAACTTTGGATTTTCGAAAAGAGCACCTCAAAAGATAAACCTATTGAGAAATCCATATATATACAAGCAAATGCCAGCCATGCCTGTTCAATCTTCCATGCAAATTGCAGGCACACACAACCTGCAAGCTAATGAAGAACGATACAAAGGAAAAATGACGAAAAATCATATCGGGCAAGCACCTCGGGGGGGTTGGGACCAGCGCAGAGTTGAACGATATGGCTACCTTCGTCCCCCTGGGAATAAGAGGAGTTATTGTTTTAGAAATGTTTCATTGATTCATAATTTTAAAAAAAGTACATGACCTAGCTAGAAGTCGCAATACAACATCCAAACAACTAAAAATACTAATTAACATCAGAAAATGGCTATCAAGACCGCTTCTCCCAACACATGCCCTTGAATTGCCTCTAAAACCTTCTCCTTCGTCACCTGCAACAAACCCAAAAATTCAACAAAACCAAATATAGACAAAAAATAATAAAATATCGCAAAAAATTGACCATAATTTTTAACCAAAAACACGTCATAGACTTTGACACAACAAATATACACATGCACATGCACATACCTTGTGACCAAGGTGCAGTTCATCATCCAAAGCATAGAGCTTGAACTCGAACCTGTGGCCATGATTAGGCAATTTGGGCCCACGCCACCCAGGCACCTTCCAGTCATTGTTCCCTTCTTTGATCCCACCATAATCGCCCCCCACCTCCTCCTCTTTCCCAGAGAACCCCTCTGGCAGCTTCTTCACAGTCGGTGGGATGTTCACCACCACCCAGTGGGTCCACGGTACGATCGGGCCATTCGGGTCGGGTGCATCAATGTCTTGTACAACCAGGGCCAGTCTCTTGGTCCCCTGCGGCACGTTGTACCATTCTATTGGTGGAGATATATTCTTCTTTGCCCCTTGGCCTTCTCCTGTGTATTTTCTGGGCAGCCTTCCTTCGTGGTCTATGCCCGGTAATACCAATCTGAACTCTTCACTGGAAGCCATAGCCTCTAATGAGAATAATTGATATGTTATTTTTATGTCACAATTGTTTATATAGGCATCTGGTCTTTTGGGATGCAGTAATGTTAGACACGACACGTTATGGGATAGACGTTTCGTGTTGGCGATACAAGGTGCGAGGAGCATGGTGCCGTGACACGTGCTATGAAACCTGGAACTTGCTGGACCCTTCCATCAAGAAAAAACCTTCCAGCATGTACTACTGCCCACGTAAGTCAATATTTATTAATATAATACCTTTGAGCGAAAATTATCAAATTCTATCCGTCCCGTCCATATTATAATACGGATACTATTTGCTTTCTTTCCAATAAAAGAGATATTCCTTTTTCTTACGAATTACAACTTGACACATGCAAAAATAATTCATTAAAAACACAAAAAGAAAAACTTATAGACGCATATTACATTGGCAGAAATATAAAAACTCTTACTTACATGGTAAAGACATAACAATGTTGAATGGTAGAACTAGACTCTAATTAAAAATATAAAAGTCACTTTTGGTCATTCATTTGTCACTTTGATATTTATGGTTTCAATTTTGACCGTGGAGTTTGATATTCCTCACACAAACTATATGATAGAGTAAACATGTGTCCTTAATGTGTAATGATATTTTGGAGAAACTCGAATGTAATTTAATAAAATTTGTGACGCGTCCTTGAAAAAAAGTGACATAATTTAAATTAAAACAACCAAAATAGTAAAATCAGCAAACTACATGATGATAAATTACCTTTTGAGTCTTTGCATGACAGAAAAAGCCTCATTTGAAGTTCCAAGTTTTGGGTTGGGAAGGGATCTTCGAATTCATATCACATGGATGAGTCCGGTCCAATACTATTTATAATCATGTCAATGCTAAAGTTTCTGATTTTGTGATTAGATTAGACGAAAGAAAAAGACAGACAAAACAAGCGTCCGAGTACATTTTACATGGCTTAAAAAGAAGGGAAAAAAATGATTAGGACGTACATAATGTGCAATTATTGGATGCGTGACTGGTGTGTAATGTGTACCGGCAAAAGCTCATAAAGCTCATTTTGAGTGGTCTATTATATTAATGGTGCATCAAAACGCAGCGTACCATCCAATCGTGCCCATAGTCCATAGGGCGTCGGACAATTTTGTGCATGCACTCAAAGAAAATAGTACCATCAGACTGGCACGTGTTGTCTTACAACACTGCGAAATATTCCACGTGTCAGGTGTATGTGTGTTGGTGACTTAAGCGAAGTGATAGGGCAGAGTAGGAGAGTACCATGGACCAGTCCCTGTTATGATACGTCTTCCAATTTTTATTTTCACGGGCGGGACTTTACATGCGTTTGTTTGTAAGGCCAATTTGTATAAACAAATATTTAGTACACTTATCTCTTCTTTTTCCTTTTTTCTTTTTCTTTGGGTCAATATATCGTACACACTATAATCTTCTTTCTTCATGCAGCTCACACATTTGCACGAATTCCTTTTGCAGTGAAGCTGAAATTTCAAATTTTGGATGAGACTATAACCTAATATTTACTTTTGAGTGGAAGCGATAGTCTAAAATACAGGAGAGACGGTTTCTCACACACACAAAACTAAGATCCCGTTGGAGCAAACAACCATCATTAAACCTGAAAGAAACAACCAACCTCAATGCCAAAATCATAAATCTTAATTCTTCAGTTTGATTTGAAGTGTATGTAACAGGAGAGCATTAATCTTAAAAAATGATATAAATTAAGAAGGTTAAAATGGTGTGTATTTTCAGTTTGAAGTGGAGTAAAACTTTCATGATTCTTCTACTTGCGTGCGCTCCTTCTAAATTCTTCTCCTTTTATCGGGTTGACGATCATAAAAAGTGTATAATGCAGAGCGAGCACAAGTCAACGTCCATATTAAATGCAGAAAACGATATGTGGAAGGTTTTGATTTGAGGAGTGCAAAACCAAATAGACCACAGATATGTCTCGTAACGTTTCTGTTACTCAAAAACTGCAACCACAGTAAAACTCTGCAGCTGCATTCACCTTATAAAGCTAAGAACCCTTCCTGCCGGCCCTGTAACAGTAACTTCCTCAACAGTAAAATCATCACTTACCTTCCCTTGTGATGTCGACGTTTCCATTTCCAATCTTTGGTTCGGTGTGTGGGGGCCCCAAACTCAAACATCAACTGGCTAATCCGCAGGTTTACCAACTCTGCCCTAGCACTGTGGACAATGGAGTATTAACATATTTTAATTCTTGGGTTTTTTGTCTTTTGCAATTTGTAATTTCATATGTGTATATAATCAAGTCTACTGATATTTGTCTCTACTTAATTAGAGGAGGTTCTAAGTTTGACTCACATGAATGACGATGACGATATATTCTTGCGACGAGTTAGACAACTTGTTACATATTGATCTTATTGTGGTGGTATAGCCTTATTTATGAATGTATCAGTACGTTGTAAAAAGTATCATCTTATTATAAAAACATATATAACATATATACATTGTAGAATTCGACATGGGCAATATCCATAGATTAGTTACACACTACGAGAAATCTGGTGTACAAAATAATTGTGTAGAAAAAGAGAAACAAATTTTGTGTCAAAACACTATGCGGTCATGTACATCAGCAGAAGTTTGTGACTGATGTGTGGTTTGACGAAGACAGATAAAGCAGGTAATTTTGAGTTGAACAAGTAAGAATAATTAGGGTTCTACCCACCCCCACTGTGAAATTAAATCGGAGACTCATCAGTCCTCCTATAGCTTAGCTAGGGGACCCCCCCAACCCCACCTGGTTCCTTTGCTTCTTTTAATAGTTTTTTTTTCTCTTCATCTTTTGTCTGTTTTAATTTGTATTTTCATCTTTGCATGCTTTTGTCTTTTTGTCTCGAAGCAAAGTTGCAATTCATCATTTGCATTGCTGAATGAAATTTTTTGAATCTGCCAAGTTAGGCAGTGCCCTGTGTGGACTCAACAAAGTTTTGGTCTAGATTATTGCATATAGGGAATCGGGGTAAATATTCAATGGAGGTGTTTGGGGATCTAAGCTTGAATCGTAGCACTAGTTGAAGCCAAGTTTTTGCTAAAAAATGCCCTTTAAAAGAAGAGCTGATGATAAGACCTTAAGCCCTTTTCTTTTTCTTCCTAAAGAGGTGTAATTGAGGGGACACGAATAGTAATTCTCTTTCAGCAAACAGTGTATAACCTAAGGATAAAAACTATAAAAAGCATAACCGTACGATTTAAAAGCCCGGCAAGGATTTGGTCCTCGGATTTAGACACACCTGCAACTATGTTACATCCACTTAGATTTCATAAATAAAAGAAAAAGGACCCCCACACACCCCCTTCTCTTTAGTCTTTCTCTTCATTCCTGACTAGCCTCAAAAAGCCAATTTGACTCCAACCCTAAAAACAAAACACCGTCCCACTCTCTCTCTCTCTCTCTCTCTCTCTCTCTCTCTCTCTCTCTCTCTCTCTCTCTCTCTCTCTCTCTCTCTCTCTCTCTCTCTCTCTCTCTCTCTCTCTCTCTCTCTCTCTCTCTCGCCGACTGGTTAAGGGCCAGTGTTCCTTTGTTTTGGGGGAGGGTCCTTAATAGGTCACGCTTTACCTAGTTGCGGACAGAATAAAACTATTTGATCCATCTTAATTGAGTATTTGTTATATTCTCTTAACCTAACAATACGTTGATAATGGTAAAGTTGAGATGATACAAATATCGGATCAATAGTATTTATGCACCAAATGCCAGGAAAATAAAAAAAGCAAAAAGCAGAGGAAACCTTTGCGTAGGTTAAAGAGTCTCCCTCCTGGGCCTCCTGGCTGGGCTAGGACCCCTAGGGTAGACACCCGAATCCTGCGCCAAAGATTGGCTGACTCACATGACGACATCTCTCTTCTTCTCTCAAAATGATCAAATCAATAAAACACAATATTCATCTCCCTATATATAATACCATGCACCCAAAAGCACTTACCCCTACCAAGTGCTAGCCAAAAAAGCCCAGTTTCAAGCAACCAAATAGCCACGTCTGCTGTTTGTCCTCCAAATGGACTATTTCTCTGCCACTAATAACTCTAGCTCAGATGGCTCTAACTCTAACTCTTCTTCAGGGACCAAACACAACGGCACCGGAGAGAAGATCAAGGGTGGCGTGAAGAGCAAAAGCAAAGGAGTGAGGCTTTCCACAGACCCGCAGAGTGTGGCGGCCAGAGAGAGGAGGCATAGGATCAGTGACCGGTTCAAGATCTTGCAGAGCTTGGTTCCTGGTGGGACCAAAATGGACACGGTGTCCATGTTAGAGGAAGCTATCCACTATGTGAAGTTCCTCAAGGCCCAGATATGGCTTCACCAGAGCATGATCAACTTTGTGGACGACGATGATCGTCTTCACCATGACCGTTCATCATCCTCATCATCCTCATCTATGTTCCAGTACCAGCTTCCCGCTGATCATCATCTTCATCATCCAACTGGGTCCCATGATTTCTACTCTCAGAATAATTTCGTGCAACCACCTTCACCAGCTATGAATATTCCATTGCCTGACCCTAATTACTTCCAAGGTCAAGAAGCCATGCCCAATATTGAAGCCTACATGAAATATTATAGTTAGTTTATAAGTAGTTCTCTCTCTCTCTCTCTCTCTCTTAGCCACATTCACTATGTGTGCTTTCTATGACTATGAGCAAGTATGTATTAGTGATATTTAAGTTATGGTTAGCCTTGGACTGGTGTATTTTCATGGTAAAATGTTTTAACAAATTGTATTTCTTTGTTGCTCTAAGAATGGGAAGGAATTAATGTTGTTGTAGTACTGATGTTTCTGTCTAGACTGATTTAGATTATATGGCTGATTTGGTGTGTTCATGAACCTACGAATGATCCCAAATTGTGCATTAACTTAAATGTCCAGTGGTTTTAATGCTGATATTGCCAAACATTTCCCTGCAGAGGTCAACATTCTTTAGTCTCTTGGAGTTTTTACGGGAGCTTCCTTGTATCCAAATGGCCTCAGCCATTACCGATGAGGGTTAGTGCAGTTGGTAAGGGCCCTGCATTGTGTATAGCCCCACACAAGTGTTCGAGTCTCGCTGTCAGTAGTTCTCGTTGATGCGCGATCTATAATTTCATATATAAATTCATACCGGTAGTAGCTGACAGTTGAGTGCCACGCATAAGCCATTCCGGCTCGAGATTGTGAGTATGTCATGATGTTGGCGGTGAAAATAGCCAATTTTTCCCTAAATTTTTTTGTATAAAAAAAAAAAAACAAGGCCGCAGCCATTTCATATGATCACCCCACATGTGAAGTCAATAACTGATTATTTGTTTTTGAATAACTTGTGATACAAAGACTATTATATTTTTAAAACATACAAATTACAGTAATGGGATTAGTTTAGAGGTTTTAAATATTCGGATGAATTTCAAAAGTTTTTATTTGAGGGAGATGAATTTCAATTTGAATGAATTATTTGATATTTTCATCAAATAATAATTACTTCAAATATAAAGTGGAAATTCGTACGTATTTTGTCTATGAGAATATGAGAATCCGTGTTTTGTCTAATTTTTTTTATAAAAAAACATATGAAATAAATTAAATAATACAAATAAAGACATGGGGATTGAATTGGAGGTTTTTCTGCTACTATTGGGAATGGTTCTGTGCATCAGGCTGAAGTTTATGGCTTGAAGTTTGCTAGCAAATCTAATTGTTTTCCGTCAATTGTGGAGTCTGACTCTTAATTGGCTGTAGAGCTTGTGACTGTTCTCAGTTGTGATCCCCTGCAGCCGCTGTTCAATCTTATATCCAGTTGCAAATCTTTTATGACTGGTGGTGTGTGTAGGATTCATCATGTGTTTACGAAAAGCAATTATGCTGTTGATATGCTCGCTTCTATTGGGATTATTAAGCCTTTTGATTCTTCGTATTTGGAATGCTCCTCTTGTTCTTAATTTTCAATGACTTGTATATGGTTTCTATATTCAAGTTTGTTGTCGGTTAGTGTTTGTGTGGGGGCCCTCCTCTCTACAAAAAAAAAGAAAAAGTTTTAAGACACATTTTTAGTAAATAGAACACAAAATAAGCTTTGTTGATCATGTATTTCTATCCGGTGAACACCAACATCTTGTACGTGTGTTCTTCTTCAATGTTTCCTTTTTGATTTCTACTTTTGCTATCCGGTCATTCTCATTTTTAGAATGTCTTTCTTTCTCTTTTGACTTTTGTTGTTTTAGAACTATTGGGCATCATTTTTACCACAATGCTTCCAAACTGTCTGTTGGGCTTCAAGGCCCACGATGAGGTTCCCCCTCTGGTCTTGAGCGCGGACCATATTTGTCCTATACAGTAAATTCGTTTTTAACGGCAATAACGACTCAGTTAATTATAAGAGCATTTAATGGTATGCTTTTGATCTTACCCTACAATGCAAAACTTTTAGACGCCTTTTTCATGTCGTAGTTGAATGGCTCTCCATGTGTTTGATGAAATTCCTGACTGAAAGATTATAACACTGTATATACAAGCTGTTCTTGTCCCACCGTTTTGGGTTGATAATTACGAAAGTATAACACTGAAAAAGTAAATTGTGAAGAGATGAAGAGAAAACAAAAAGAAAGAACATAAAAAACAAAAAATTGTGTCTATGGAGAAAATGAGTACGAGGAGGAAGAAGAAGATGAAATAGGTGGTGATAAATGGCATGTACAACTTGGGTCTTGGATGGCCCTCTTCTTACTCATATCAAGTTTTGAACAAAACACACAATATGTACCCCGAAATCCTTTGTCTTCTGATTCATTCTCATCTGTATCACAGTCTTCCATGATATACGCGCTCTCTTCTTCAAAATCTTCTTCCTCCTCCTCATTCCATTCGTCGCGAGTTTTGTAAGTAAATCCCATCATTGGAAGGATTACCAGAAGAATTCTGTCAATGCTGTCCTCCAACCAATTTCTTCCTTCCTCCCACAAGATTAAGAGGATAACAATCACTCCTGCTCCCACTCCAAACCCCACTCCAGTATATATGGATTGCCAATCAAACCCAATTCCTGACACTTTGTTTGGAGCCTTTTGTGCTGCATCTGGTGATCCGCTGGTATTACCGCACCTTAGAGTCAAAGGTGGACCGCATAATCCTTTGTTTCCTGCAAAGGATTCTTCTGCAAATGTTGAAAACTGAGTACTGACTGGGATCGGCCCGACCAGTTGATTGTTTGAGAGATCCAGGAATGAGAGGAAAGTAAGATTGGCAAACTGTGCTGGAATTTCTCCGCCCAATTTGTTCTTTGAAAGGTCTAACGACTCAAGTTGTCGTAGGTTACCTAATGATGATGGGATTGTGCCTGTGAGCGCATTACTGGACAAGTTGAGGCCATAAAGTGATTTGAGTTGTCCCACTTCCTCAGGTATTGATCCATTGAATTTGTTGCCGGAGAAGTCAATAGAGGTGAAGACAGTTAGAATCTTTACCAACTCCATCTCTAAACCTTTGCTGGTAACAGTTATAGCATCCTGATAATATACCTCGGTGAATTTTAGGACTTCAAATCGAAGGTGATTAAGCTCTGACATGGCATCATCTTCGTCACCCATCATTGCTTGCCAGGTTCTCAAGCATTTTCCTCGTATTTCACCACTAAAATTGTTGAGTGCTATGTCAACAATTTGAAGCATTGACCAGTTTCCATGGGGCTTGGGGCATCCAAAGCGTCCATAAAATTTGTTGGATCGCAAAACAAGAACACGCAAGGTGGAAATGTTCTTCAACAGGCAAGGAAACTTATCTGCTATTTGATTGTTTCCAAGGTTCAAAACCTCTAACATTGTGCAATTGGCTAGAGATTTTGGAAACTGACCTCCTATCTGATTGCCATTGAGGTCTAGAGTTTTTAAACTACAATGCTCAGGAAATTGATCAGGAACAGTGCCAGAAAGATTGTTTCTTCTCAAATTCAGTACTGCAAGAGTCCCACTTATTGCAGTCAAGCAGTTGGGAATCAAGCCACTGAGAGAATTATTTGAAACATCAAGAACCTGAAGATTTGTTGCATTGCATATAGATACTGGAATGCTTCCATGAAATTTATTGCTTGAAAGAGAGAAGAATATAGTATAAGAAAGGAAATCACCAATGTCAGTCCGTATGCTAGAGTTAAAGTTATTTCTTGAATAATCTAGATAAATGGAAAATTGTGAAAAAAGGGGGATTTGTCCCCTAAGCTGGTTGGAATGAAGGTCAAGGACAGACAAACTAGAAGTAACATTGAGGAGAGGACCTTCTAGAGTTTCCAGAGAGTTGCAAGAAAGATTTAGTTGAGAAAGATTATTGAGCCTCCAAATCCAGTTGGGTATCTCTCCATGAATCTGGTTTTGTGAAAGGTCCACAGTGCTTAAGTGGGATTGGTTTCTTAAGAAATCTGGGAATCTTCTCAAGTTGACAGATGCCAATTTCAATGTGGTAATTTGAGGAAAGGAAGAGTAAGAGGAATTGGTATCATTGTAATCAATTGACAATATATTGTAGGAAAGATCAAGACTCGAAAGATTTTTCAGTTGTGGAAGAAGCTCAAGAGGAAAGGAGCCGCTGAAGTTGTTTGAAGAAAGTGAAAGAATCTTAAGCCCTGTGAGATTAAAGATAGACATTGGTATAGGCCCTTCCAACTTATTGCTACTCAAATCAAGGGTGTCCAATAGAAAGATACCACCACCAAATACAGGCAACTGCCCAGAGAATTGATTGTTAGAAAGCTGTAGTTTCTGCAGCAGTGAAAGAGAAAATAGAGACGGTGGAATAGTCCCATTAAGTAGATTGAATCTCAAGTCGAGATTCTCCAGATTAGTAAGGTTTTCCCAGTTAGAGGAATTAATCTGACCTGTTAGAAGATTGGATGAGAGATTTATTAGGGTCAGATTCTTGGCCATACTGAAGAACGGAACAGAACCATTGAACTTGTTCCACGAGAGGTCCACATAAATCAATTGTGTAAGGTTTTCCATTGACCTTGGGATTGATCCAGTGAAATTGCAACTTGGAACATCTATTTTGGACAGCATTTTGAGGTTCCCAATAGAGTTCGGTAGCAACTGGCCTGAGAAATTTGCCCCATTGAGAACCAGGGATTGAAGAGATGCATTCTTCGGAAATTCTGGTAAGGAACCCTGAAGCTGTGAATTACCAGATAGGTCTATAGTCTGCAGTGTAGGTACTAGGAAAATCTTCTCTGGAAATGTACCATATAACCCAGAACTGCTGAGGCGCAAGGAAGTCAAATTTGTGAAATTTGAGAAGAACTCTGGAACTTGAGTAGACAAATTGTTTTTCCCTATATGAATCACTGAGAGTGAGTGAAGTTTCAGTAATGAACTATCAAAAGGGCCTGAAATATTAGAAGTGGACAAGCTCAACACCCTCAACTTTGGCAGTGAAGATGATATAGCTTGGCACCACTGAGCCCCATGAGCTGATATATTCACACCATCAAGATGAAGTTCAACAAGCTCAGAAAGATTGCCAAGGAGTACATTCAAATTTGGATTCTCAAGTTGCAGTGAAGGAGTTCCGGGAAAGTAAAAAGAGGTAGATAAATCAAGAGTTACCAACCTCGTCAGGTGTGCAATCTCAATTGGAATCTGCCCCACAAAGCCAGCATTTGACAGGTTCAGATAACTCAAATTGGTCAGCTTGTCGAACTTGGATGGAATCTGAGTATTGTTGAAGTTATTGTAAGCCAAATTCAGGTTCTCGATGTACCGCAGATCAAAAAGAGCACTTGAATTATCAAGTCCTCCTGAAATTGACTCGCTGCTTAAGTCGAGATGAGAAACACAGCCATTTTTGCAGGACACACCTTCCCAAGAGCAGTAATCTGAGCCATTCTTCCACTGTGCAAGTTTTTTAGATGATGTAGAGTTAAATTTGAGGCTTTTCTTCAATCGATGAAGCAACAAAGATTGCTGATCGCTTGGGCATTGGCTAGAGACCACAAAGACATGGAAGCTGAGTGAAACATAGTAAATGGGCACTAAGAAAAGCCATGAAAGCAGAGGAATTCTCATTGAAAGCTCTGATAAGTGACACCCACACAAGAGGAAACAGAGCAGGCTAGGATATAAGCAATGGTCCCATGAAGGCAAAGATCCATGAACATGAACCTTGAGCTCCTGGATTTGAGCCGTTGACCAGACCAAAAATCTTGCAGAGGTAGCACGGAAGGGAGACTAATTGGAAGTTTTGAATGGGAGGCAGAACATGGAACAAGACAAAACAGAGAGAGAATTGGGATGGATGAGTGAGAAGACTCAGAGCCGCGTTTGTTTGTATAATGTGGACTTGTTCTTGAGGCGGCCTTTCTTTATTGTATTTATCCCCACAGCTTTCTGACAGTCACTCCTGGCGAGTTGCAAACTTGGAATATTCAACCCCAATTACGTTTGTCTTGGTTGTTGACTTTCTTGTATTTATTGTGGAAAAATACCAATCCCATTTCTCCCTCTAGATTTGTGGGTAAATAAATTTCATTTTTACTCTCGTGTTTTTAACTCTTTAGTTTTACATTTAAAACTTAATCTTGGGTAATTTAAGACGTTCAGATGAACTCTTCAATTCCGACCAAACGGTGGTTGCCTTTCAAAATATTAATAATTCTTGTAAGGCGTGGTTGTTGCAAACCAGCCATCATTATCCTTAATTAATTAGGTTTGAAAATTAATTAGGCAGGATTAGTTGCATGTTTAAAACAGTATTTTAGGGACTAAATTATAAGGTCCCCTGAATCCGAATGCCCAGAAAGTATGCATGTATAATCTCGTTCTTATTATGTAACAATTGTCAGAACCATTTTTCTTTTTAAATTTGTATATTGCATGCAAAATAATACACCATGCAAATTTTAATTTGGAACGCGTCATCCACGTAGTGAGAAAAATTGATTTTTCTGTACCAGAAAAAGATTAAATATTATTTGGTGTGAAAACATCGATGAGTCGGGCATCTTGGGTGGGAGGGTGATGGATATGGACAGGGTAGGGAGGCTTTATTTCAATGTCGTTGTTGGAAAAGAGTAAAGTCATACGATAAGTTTGACATTTAGCTATGGAGTTGGTACTTTAACAATCTAAGCTAACAGCAGTCAAAATCTCATTAAAGGGTTGGGAAAATCCCACAGAAAAATTGAATGGCGAAAAAGAAAGAAAAAAGCACTTGAAGAAAGAAAAATCAAAGACACCAAAATACAAGTCCAACAATTGGAAGAAAAAAAACACATTCACACAGAATTATTGGATTCTTAGCAGGAAGTGATTAAATATTCTGTCAAAAACGGTCCCATGTTTGTTTTTTTGGTAAAAAACGGTCCCATGTGTTGTCCAACCCCCCACCTGCCCTGGTTTCCCTTAGAATAGGACACCATGAATGAGTTGAGCAGAGTTTTCCTGCCCGTTAGGCAACGGTAGAGATGTTGTCGTTGTTGGTTTAGGTGAATCTGAAATCTGAAGCTTAACAAAGGGACTGCAAATCTCAGCTATATGTAGCAGATAGTAATGCTCTTGTTGCTTATTTGTTTTTCTTTTTTCATGGCTTTCGAGTCGAGACGGTTTAATCCCATCCGTTGAAACTTCACAAGAAGGCAAATTGAAAGAAACAAGATAATCATTTTGTTTTGAACAAGCTCAGATTATTTGAGTACAAACTCAAAGAAACAAGCTAACATTTTGTTTCGACTGGGCATAAGTTGAACAAGCCCAGCTCGTTGATTTGAAAAGACAATAAAGGATGATGATCTGCTGTGAGAAGTCCATTACTTTTAAAAATACAAGATAATAGAAGGTCATTTTCCTTTACCACACTGCAATACCAAACGCAGCGGGTAGGGTCTGTCCACAAGTAGTTAGTAATGATTTGCTGATATGTGAATTTATGTAATGTTTTCTACATGCCACAAAAATAAAATATAAAAGATACATGATATTCCAAGACTAACTAGAGCTCAATTAAATCAACTATGAAACCAGAAAGCACACTTCTGATTTCTTGGATCTCAAAATACCTTAGGCAAAACATGGATTCCCGCTGCATTTGTTCCTCATAATCAATTCAACGTTTCCACCTTTGATTTATGTGAACATGTCTCCGATGAATACCAATTCTTTCCTCCAACTGAGGGAATATCTTGAGAAGGATGTTATACATAGCTTTGTAATACCATTTACTCCATCTCTTGCACAACACAAGTGACCCAATAGCAATTCCAAAGCCAAATGTAAAACCAATTTCGACACTGATAACACCCCAATTAATCTCACGATGATGTCCAGAATTTGGTTTTACATTTGAAGCCTCGCTGGGATTATTGCATGTTATGTTCAACTGCATCCCACATAATCCTTTATTACCTGTGAATGAAGCTGCTGAAAATGTTGAAAGCTGAGCTGTGCTTGGAATCTTCCCAACCAGTTGATTGTTCGAGAGATTCAGGAATGAGAGGAAAGTAAGTTTGGCAAACTCTGCAGGAATTTCTCCGCCCAATTTGTTGTTCGAAAGGTCTATGGACTCAAGGTGTCGCAAGTTGCTTAATGAGGTTGGTATTGCACCTGTGAGAGCATTACTGGACAAGTTGAGGTCATAGAGCGACTTGAGTTGTCCCACTTCCTCAGGTATTGATCCACTGAAGTTGTTGCCGGAGAAGTCAATAGAGGTGAAGACAGTTAGAATCTTTACCAACTCCATCTCTAAACCTTTGTTGGTAACAGTTATAGCATCCTCATAATATACCCCGGTGAATTTTAGGACTCCAAATCGAAGGTGATTAAGCTCTGACATGGCATCATCGTCGTCACCCATCATTGCCCTCCAGGTTGTCAAGCATTTTCCTCGTATTTCACCACTAAAATTGTTGAGTGCTATGTCAACAATTTGAAGCATTGACCAGTTTCCATGGGGCTTGGGGCATCCAAAGAGCCCATAAAATTTGTTGGATCGCAAAACAAGAACACGTAAGGTGGAAATGTTCTTCAACAGGCAAGGAAACGTATCTGCTATTTGATTGTTTCCAAGGTTCAAAACCTCTAACATTGTGCAATTGGCTAGAGATTTTGGAAACTGACCTCCTATCTGATTGCCATTGAGGTCTAGAGTTTTGAAACTACAACGCTCAGGAAATTTATCAGGAACAGTGCCAGAAAGATTGTTTCTTCTCAAATTCAGTACTGCAAGAGTCCCACTTATTCCAATCAAGCATTGGGGAATCGTCCCGCTTAGAGAATTATTGGATAAATCAAGAACTTGAAGATATGGCGCACTGCACATTGATTCTGGAATGATCCCATTGAAGTTATTGTTTGAAAGAGAGAAGAACAAAGTGAAATTAAGGAAATCACCAATGTTAGGGGGTATCCCAGTGCTGAAATTATTTTTTGAATAACCCACATAAATGGCTGATGGTGGAAAAAGTGGGAATTGTCCCTGAAGCTGGTTGGAATGAAGGTCAAGCACAGATAGAGAAGTAAGATTAAGCAAAGGACTTTCTAGAGCTACCAGGAAGTTGTAAGAAAGATTTAGTTGACTAAGACTACTCAGATTCCAAAGCCAGTTGGGTATCTCGCCTTGAATCTGGTTTTCTGAAAGGTCCAAACTGACTAATCTAGATTGATTTCTCAAGAAAGCAGGAAATGTTCTCAACTTTCCAGAAGCTAATTTCAATGTGGTAATGTTAGGAAAGGTGGAATGCGAGACACTGGTATGATTATAATTAATCAGCAAGCTATTGTATGAAAGATCAAGACTGATTTTTCAGTTGGGGAAGACCATTAAGTGGAAAGGAGCCATTGAAGTTGTTTGAAGAAAGTGAAAAGAATCTTAAGCACTCGGAGATTAAAAATGGACATGGGTATAGGCCCTTCCAACTTATTGCTACTCAAATCAAGGGTGTCCAATAGAGAGATACCACCAAATACAGGCAGCTGACCAGAGAATTGATTGTTAGAAAGCTGTGGTTTCTACAGCAGTGAAAGAGAAAATAGAGACTGTGGAATAGTCCCATCAAGTAGATTGAATCTCAAGTCGAGATTCACCAGATTAGTAAGGTTTTCCCAGTGATAGGAATTAATCTGACCTGTTAGAAGATTGGATGAGAGATTTATTAGGGTCAGATTCTTGGCCATACTGAATAAGGGAACTGAACCATTAAACTTGTTCCATGACAAGTCCAAATAAACCAATTGTGTAAGGTCTTCCATTGACCTTGGGATTGGTCCAGTGAAATTGCAAGTTGAAATATCTATTTTGGACAGCCTTTTGAGGTTCCCAATAGAGTTCGGTAGCAACTGGCCTGAGAAATTTGCCCCATTGAGAAACAGGGATTGAAGAGATGCATTCTTCGGAAATTCTGGTAAAGAACCTTGAAGCTGTTGATTACCCGACAAGTCAATAGTCTGTAGTGTAGGTACCTGGAAGATCTTCTTTGGGAATGTACCATCTAACCCAGAATTACTGAGTTGCAAGGAAGTCAAATTTGTGAAATCTGAGAAGAATTCTGGAACTTGAGCAGACAAATTATTGTTCTCTAAATGGATAACTGAGAGTGAGCGAAGCTTCTGTAATGAAATATCAATAGGGCCTGAAAGATTACAAGTGGACAAGCTCAGCACCTTCAACTTTGGCAGTGAAGACGATATCGCTTCGCACCACTGAGCCCCATATGCATTCACACCATCAAGATGAAGTTCAACAAGCTCAGAAAGGTTGCCAAGGAGTACATTCAAATTTGGATTCTCAAGTTGCAGTGGAGGAGTTCGGGGAAAGTAAAAGGTAGAAAAATCAAGAGTTACCAACCTCGTCAGATGTGCAATCTCAATTGGAATCTGCCCCACAAAGCCAGCATTTGACAGGTTCAGATAACTCAAACCGGTCAGCTTGTCGAACTTGGATGGAATCTGAGTGTTGAAGTTATTGTAAGCCAAATTCAGGTTCTCGATGTACTGCAGATCAAAAAGAGCACCTGAATTATCAAGTCCTCCTGAAATTGACTCGCTGCTTAAGTCGAGATGAGAAACACATCCATCTTTGCAGGACACACCTTCCCAATAGCAGTAATCTGAGCCATTTTTCCACTGCTTAAGTTTGTTAGATTTTGCAGAGTCAAATGTGAGGCTGTTCTTCAATTGAAGCAACAAAGATTGCTGATCGTCGCTGGGACATTGACTAGAGACCACAAATACATGGACGCTGAGTGAAACATAGTGAATAAGGATTAAGAAAAGCCATGAAAACAGAGGAATTCTCATTGGAAGTGTCACATTTTCCAGGTTAACGGGCCGAGGGCCCACTCCAACAACACTGATACTGTCCCCACTTTACCACCTGCACAATCCTCAGGTGTGGAGTTTTATCCAAAAGGCCTCGGTGTTAGTTAGAGTGGGGTAATTCTATTTAAAGTACTATTTCTCCTTCCCTCTCTCCGATGTGGGACACAATTGGTTTCAACACTGCCCCGCACGTGAGACGCCATTTTGTGGGTCACACGTGGAGATCCACATCGGCAACCACGTGGAGATCCACATCAGCAACCACGTGGAGCCATGTAGGGACTCACCCATCGCGCGGGGCCAAACGGGGACCCACCCATCACGTGGCACCTTTGGCCCCGCAACCTGGCTCTGATACCATGTCAAATTTTCCAGGTTAACGGGCCGAGGGCCCACTCCAACAACACCGATACTGTCCCCACTTTACCACTTGCACAATCCTCAGGTGTGGGATTTTATCCAAAAGGCCTCGGTGTTAGTTAGAGTGGGGTAATTCTATTTAAAGTACTATTTCTCCTTCCCTCTCTCCGATGTGGGACACAATTGGTTTCAACAGGAAGCTCTAGCTGGCTGCTAATATGTGACAGCAATTGTGTTGAAGCACAGAATAGGCTAGGATATTAGTTTGCAAATGTGGCTTCAGCAGTCGTGGAAATAGAGACGCTGAGGAAAACTGAGATAGTGATGGATATGGTGGCTTTGAATTGAATTTGTGGAAAATGTCTCGACAACATTTGTGGTTTGCTTGACTTGCTGACTTTGAAGTCTTTTGCCATCTACTTAAGGGCTCTATCACAATTAAGGGACTATTGACTATTGAATAAGTCGATGAATTTCTGGGTTGGAAGATGAAAATATTGATAAAGCTAGTTATTGCAGCTAGCGACCGGTCGCTGGGATCGTGCGACCGGTCGCCAGACGTGCTGTGCTGTTTTTCCGGGTTGTTTCGAGGTGCTTTCACATGTGTCGGGTGCCTCCAAAGTGTTTTATGGGTTCTAGAAGTTTGGCAAGGTGCCTTAAAAGCTGGAACATCATTGAATGTTGTTTTGTTGACTTGTACCAAAGGGTTTTCTAGGTGGGAGACAAGGGGACAAAGGGTGCATGCTTTATGGCTTGTTTTCTAGTTTGCCTAACCTTGTGTTTAGGTGGGTAGCTGAAAGCAAGAACGTGAAGGAGTAATTGCAGCCTTCTACTAAGTCCAAAGGTCTGCCTACAAAAGAAAAGAAGATGCAAGACAACAAGAAGGGTGGTGGTTAATCTCAAGGAGTGGTCAAGTAGTTGGGAGCTATTGTGTCCAAGAGGTTGAACTAACCAAGGGAGGAAGAGAGAGAGGGCAATCAGTTCAAGAGTGAGCTGAGTTGGGTTTTGAGTGTCTAGACACTAAAGGAGGGAAACACCAAGTGTGAGAGAGTGTTCACAAGTGCATCAAAGTGTTGAGCAAGGGGTGAGAGAGAAAAGAGAGCTTGGGAGAGAATAGAGTTCTAAGGGGGTTTCTTTGTAAACCAAAGTTGTAACTTATTCTTTCATTAGTGAATTTCTCAAGGGGATCACCAAGAGGATGTAGGCAATTGCTGAACCTCTATAAATTCTTGTGTCACTTTGTGCTTGGTTGGTTTCTCAAGTGTGTGTGTGTGATTCATCCATCCTTGTGTGTGTCAAAAAGTCCATCAACAACAAGATCATTAGGGGAGTGAGTGAAAGTGTTTGTCCATTTTCACAACAAGTGGTATCAGAGCTGAGTTTGAGCAGCAAGTTCTAGTGTGTTGAAGATGGCAAGTGACAAGGAAGCTAGAGGTGGAAGTAGCTCTATGCAACCACAAGTTGTCACCATGAAGGTGGAGTTGAAGCCTTTCACAGGGAAGGAGAACTTCACTCTATGGCAAAGGAGAATGAAGTTAGCCCTTACACAACAAAAACTGAGTGTTGTCTTGGGAGGCAAAGAGAAGAAGCCAGCAACCATGACAGACGCGGAGTGGGGTGTTCTAGACGAGTTGGCTAGAGGAGCCATCGAGAACTACATCACAGACGAGGTGCTCATCAACGTGATGCAATACACAGCGAAGCAAAAATGGGAGAAGCTTGAAGCGATGTTTGCAGGGAAGTCGCTGTCCAACAAGCTCTTCCTTAAGGAAGAACTCCTAAATCTTCGGATGGAGGAGGAAGGTAATCTAATGGAGCATTTGAGCAGCTTCAATAGGTGTGTTGCTGATTTGCAAAGGATGGAAGTGTTGTATGATACGGAGGATAAGGCACTCATGTTTCTAACATCCTTGCCTCCGTCTTATAAACATTTCCGAACAACGCTTATGTTTGGGAAGAGTACTTTGAAGTTTGAGGAGGTGGTGCAAGATGTGATGACGCATCATCGAATGTCTCAACGTTCGGAGGAGAACTCTCAAGATGCGGGTCTATTCGTAGGGAACCGTTCAAGCAAGCATGAAGGCAAGAGCAACAAAGGGAGGAATACTAAGTCCAAGGACAAAGAAGGGTGCTTCGAGTGTGGGTCTATGGATCATTGGAAGCAAAATTGTCCGGTATGGAAGGAGAAGATGAAGAAAGCTGGAAGTTCAGCAAATGTATGTGATGATGACATTTGTGATGAACTCTTGACGGTTACGGAGGAGAGTAATGAGGAAGTCATGGCAAGTTCTTCGGGTAAGAGTTCTTCTTCAAGTTGGATTTTAGATTCCGGGTGCTCATATCATGTGTGTGCAAATAAGTTGATGTTTGACACATATGAGGATAAGAAGGCAAGCATGATTATGTTGGGAGACAAAACTACATGTGAAGTTTTGGGCATAGGGACTGTGAAGATCAAGTTGCAAGATGGTGAAGTTTGGATTCTTAGTGAGGTGAGGTTTGTATCTGCACTAAGAATGAATTTACTCTCACTTGTCTCTTTGGATAGAGAAGGGTACTCTTACAAAGCCAAAGGAGGGAAGCTCATGGTCACACAAGGTACTGTGGTGGTTATGAGGGGGGAAATTCAACCAAACAACACATACAAGCTTTTGGGTGGTGCAGAGATTTGTCCCAAGGAAGAGCATGCAACAAGTCTTAAAGTCAAGGAGCCGGTCCAACATAATGGGGAGGATGTTGTTGAAGAGAAGCTTCTTGCCAAGGTGGTCATGGAGGAGTCTCCATTTGACGTGGAGCTTGACACAAGGGCTGAAGAAGGAGGGCAACAACAACAAACTCACAAAGGGGTTCTACTTGAGGTGGAGCCATCATCAATTGCAAGGTCCGGGCTCAAGAAATCCATCAAACCGTCCCTAGGTTTTGGATGGATGGACCAAGAAGTTCCAGCCACGTTTCGGAGTGCTATAGGGAGCATGAAGCGGAAAGTTGGAGAGATGCATTGATGAGAAGAGATGTGTTCTTAAATCCAAGAGCAAGGTTGGCTAAGTGGGGATTTAGTGATCAAAGGTTTGGTATGTGGTTTGCATATCAAGGCATGTCCAAGATTCAAGGTTCCGGGAAGGCAAGGAGCAAAGAATTTGGCATGGGGGATCTCTCTTTTGCAAAAGAGGTCCAGGTTACTCAAGTCTAGGCTTGGGTGGAGCACCTTCCACCAAAAGTGCATTGAGGCAATAGGTTAATTGCTATGGTGGAGTTCTTGGAAATTACTAGAACGATTTCTAAGAAGTTGAAGAGGTTCTAGAAGTCAACAATGGTTCATGGGGCGATTAATGGTTCGCCAAGGTGGAGATTGTTGTAAAATTGGCTCACATTAAGGTTGCAAGTGAAGGAGGCAGCGACCGGTCACAAGGTTTGGGCGACTGTTGCGTAGATTTCAGCTGCACCAAAATGGATTAAGCTGCATCCTCAACTTGTGATACTCGCAAGTGCACGAGCCGTTTGGTAGTATAGCATATGTAAGTGCGAGGTCGATCCCACGAGGATTGGTGATTGAATGATCCAATTCAGTTTCCCTACACAAAACAGAAATGAAAAATAAAGGAAATAAATAAAACAAGGAAGAAAGAAAATAACTAACTCAAGTAGATAAGTTCCCAAGTTCAATTAGATTAACGGATTGATTCTAGCTAATGTATGATTAAGCCATGGTGTGTGGTCATAACCTTGTGTTCCTAATTCCCTAATTTGATCATTTGTTGTCTAACCTAAAATTAAGCATTAGGAACCCATTAAGCATAGAAGAACAATTTAAACAACCAAGCATGTATCTAATCCCTGTTGTCGAATGTCCATACATACTCTTCCTATTCATAGTTCAATTCGAATTAAAGCATGGCGTCTACTCTTAATTCAAACCAAGATAGCTAACATGCAAGCCTAAATGGTGATCAATCATTCAAACTAGCATATTAACTTATAAGCATAATGAATAAGAACAAAAACCATAATTGAAACTTGGAAACTAATCAAACTTGAAAAAACTAAAGAAAAGAATTTACATAACAATGAAAATTAAAGTAGAACTTGGAAAAACTTAAGGA